AATTAAAATATTAAGAAAGATAATCACAAAGTTAAAATCTTGCTTAGATTTTAAGGGATTAATTAAATATAAACCTACCAACGTTTACTAGCTGTAGTTTACAATTCGAAGATTATTATTATTTTTTGGTTTTATACTTTGGAGATTACTTGAAAAATATTCTCGTACTTCATCTGTTTCATATTAGATGAACTTTTTTTTTAATAAATTTTATATTGTGATTAAAAAATTTATTAGTAATTTAATTAATTTTATTATTTTGTCTGTATTCATATTAATTAGCTTTTTTATTTTGTAAAAATAAAATTATCGAGTCTTTAAATTTGCTTAAACTTTCAAAGGCCATATTAATTATAGGGGGTAAATAAACTTTTATAAAATTAATTCTATCCTTATTTAATAAATGATCAATTCATATGATTAGAGAAATTTTTTTAATCAAATAACCATCTAATATGAAACAAAGGGAGTATTAATAAGGAATATTTGATAAGGTGTATAAGAAATATATTGATTAAATTTGCATCAATAATACTTATATTAGTAATGATTGCATTTGTTATACAGTGAATTAATTATCAATTAAAAAAAAATTTCAACAGTTCGTTCATTCATTGTGACTAGTAATCGATGTCATCATCTATTTTTACTATCCTATTATCCACTATTACTATGCACCTGTTGTACATAACTATCATTGTTATCGATATGTCTACGGTTAACTGTCACTATTACTAGTCACCGTTTAGATCATCAACATTATTAACCATTAGTATATCAACCATCAATCACGACACTACTATATATATTAAATTCTTAATCATTGTCATTAGTTAATTATCATTATTATTTATCACAACTATCAATCATTATCATCAATTACCGCCGTGAAATATATAATGGCACCAACACTAGCTATTAGCAACACCATCCTCTATTAACGCCTACCACCAATATCGACAATCATGATTATTATCAATTATCATATTTTTTTAAAAAAATATATAGATTAATTCAGTATATTATTAAATTTTATATTCATAAACGTAATTAAGTTGGTTTTATAGCTTAACTTTAATTGTGCACCATTATTAGTGTTTCTTTGTAGCTCTAATTCAAAAAAGTTTCTATTTAATGGAGCACGTTTAACATGAAAAATATAAAGTTAACCCTATCATTTTTTTAATTAATAATTTAATACCGTACCTTTATTTAAAATTGTCACTTTTTCACCCTTTTAACAAGTTAAATTAATGTAGATGTAGACTTTAACAATTTTTATTATTTTTTTAGGGGCTAGATTCATTGTTCTTCAATTTTTTTTGATTAAAAAAAAAAACTAAATTAGAAACGACAAATGACTTTATTTTTTCTTTTCAAATTATAGCTAATATAATGCTACCTTGGTCAATGACTATGGTCTATCAAAGGTGGTGAAATAAAACTATGATAAATAAATTCTTGAGTCACATGGCATGCTATTAGATGTTGATATTGACAATTTTGGAAAATTGATAATTTTTTTTTTTATAATTATACTAAGAGATTTATGTTTTGATATCGATCAGGATTATTTTGATAAGATGAATAAAAATTCTTCTAATTATAACTACAGACTTTAAATATGAAACTAATTCTAATAAAAAGTTTTTCCCTTTTTAATGAATATTACTTTGACAAAAATCATAATCAATCGTTATGTTAATGCACTTAGCAATACAAGGAGGAAATTCAAACCAAAAACAATATAATATAATCTTTAGAATTGATTGAATCAAATTGGTTCCTTTTTCTTTTTATAAATAATATTTGCCAACGTAACTTTCTATCCACCTTGTTGTAATAGTCTTCAATTTTACGTGTGACGAATTCGATCAATAAATACACGGATGCCAGACTCCATACGAGAGAGAACATATGCTCAACCAATTTAGTCATCTTTACAAATTATTCTAACAGTATAATTTATCTCCAATCCAAGCGATTCCTAATATGCAAAAATTATCATAATCTAGTCAAACAATTACTTTTAATCACGTATACTCTAAGGATATATCTATCAAAGTCTTGATGAGGTATTATTGATTTTTGATATTCAAACCTCTAAATCATACGTATACAATTTCTTTAATTGTATTTATCATAAGTGGCTATAAGATTCCCAAAATGTCAATGGTATCAAATTAATTATTAATCAATTAATTTGATACCATTGACATTTTGGGAATCTTATAGCTAGTACTTATTGCAATTTGCTTTATATATATATATTTATATTATTTGGATTGTTTAACACTCTAATTAAGGGGAAGGCAAAAAATGTCTAGGTTGCTTAAGTTGACTTATCCCTTATACAGGAGTTTGTACCGAGATGCGGAGTTAATATTTAAAATTTATTGATTATGAATTTTTATTCCTTTGGAGTTGTAGGAATGTTCTGAATAAATTTTTATACATAATAAATAAATTTTTTAAAATAAATATTTTATTTTGAATCAAAATTATTAAATTTTATGTATTTCTACCCTATTTGTAATATAACAATAGAAGACTTAGTCAACACACGAGGACAAACTTCAAATGACTCCAAAAAATTATCTTTGTAATTGAAATCTAGAAATTTCAAAGTACGTAGACAATTACCACCTATTATATTATTTTTTTCCTCATTGAATTTTAGAATTTAATTACATTTTGTAATGCATACATTTTGAATTTTTTTTGGTCATTACATTTTGAATCTTATATATTTATTAAAAATCATCAATTATAGCTCTGTTTTTAGCCTAAGGGTTGATGGACTTGTGACTTAGGTCACGCGTTTGAGCCATATAATGTATAAACTATGTCAGATATTATATCTGAGAAAAATAGAAGGACGAGACTATTATTACGAAGTTCTAAGGGTACAACCAGTCATATAAATTGACCTCATATAGATTTCTTGGTCATAGTCTCATTGAGGAGTTTAAAAGATTGAGTTTCGTCAAGTTTAAGTGTTTAATTATCAAAATCGTGATTAAAAAAATTCAATTGACAATCCGAACCAAATACATAGACCTCCAAAATTGTGAATAGACGAAACACTAAAGGGAAAATGATCGCTCAGATTTTCTAAACAAAATGACAAAAGAGATATCTAATATCTAGTAGTGAGATAACGATTATACTGTCTGGGATCAATTTATGTGCATCTCCGTACTTAATTTCACGAGATATCTGTTACTTTTTATCAATAAATGAATTGAGTTCTTCTGTCTATTAAAATTTAGACAAATGAACAAAAATTACTATACATTATATCGTCATTAGTATCTAAACATAAAATTTCACGATTTTCAACTCACTTTATTAATCAATAAACGCGATATTTCTTTTTTCTTAATGGACCACCAGAAGTGGCTGAAATAAAGAGGAAGGGAACTAGTCAATGTTAGAGTTAATTGCTATGAATTTTGTATATATAAAAATGTAAATGTATATTTACGTTAAAAGAAAATATATGTAATTTCTAGTCAATGTTAAATTAATTATAAGGAAGTCAACGTTGAATCGATTGCATTTAATTAAATTTAATATCAACGTCTACTTGTTAATTAATGTGTTACATGACATCAATAAACAGTCACCATATTTTTTTAAAAAAAGGGTTTCAAGAGATTCTTTTATTTTTTTACATGATATTTCGATCAATTTATTTGTATCTTAATTATTTTAATAAATACTTTTTATTATTTTTCAATCGAGACTTAAATATGAAGAAATTCTCATATATTTATTTTTATCAGAATTTAAAATTAAAATTTCATAATTCTTTTATGGGAAAATTGTATATAATAACAAACTAATAACCTAAAATAAATGGAATAACTAGGGTTTGATTTAATTGTGCTCCATAGCAAAGGTTAGCTAAAATTTGCCAGCGTCTCTCTCCCAAAAATCTCGCTCGCCACTCTCTATTCTCGCTCGCCTCTCTCGCTTTATACACAGAAGTGTATAATTCTGTTTCTGTTTTGTATAAAGCGAGAGAAAATTGTATATACACATGCAAAAATATATATCTTCATGTTATACACTTAATTATGCAATTTACAAATATTTTACTTCAAATATTGCAGAGAAAAAAGCCAACGAATTATACAATTGCAGTGAAATACAATTTTCTCTAGCTTTATACAATAGAAGAGTATATATTGTGTTTCTGTTTTTGTATAAAGCGAAAGAAAAACATATATGTTCTTGCTATACACTTATAATTATGAAATATACATATATTTTAATTCGATTCAACTGTATGCAAAGCAAATTATACAATTGCAGCGAAATAGGCAAGTGAATTATACAATTTAAGCCAGCGAATTATACAATTTAGGCCAACGAATTATACAATTGTATATGTATAGCGAATTATACAGTTTTATATTTGTTATGGAGCGCAATTATGCAAACTTTGCTATAGCATACAAATATGAATTTTTTGTTTGCTATATGTGAAAGTTGCCCTTCTTTTATTACTTTATTAATCACTAGATCATATAAACGTAAAAGATGAAATACTTTAAATTAAATATGAGTAAGTTGAAGTATGATTTTGTATATTGAACCAAAACTTAGTTCATTGTAATTGGTGACAAAACTAACCTATGAAAACATGATATTTTTTGTTGTCCAATCCATTCAATGATCTATTTATTTATTGATCAGTTCTATTTAACATGTGCAATATAATCATTTAAATTTATCTCTAAAAGTTCAATTAATATAATAGCCCAAATTTATTCATAAAAGTTTTTAAAACAAATGGACGGTTCAATAATCAACGTAAGCGTGGACGAGTTGGAAGGGTTGTGATAATATCGTTACCTCTAGGTTAGAAAAGGATATAATATACGTCACACATTACCCCCTACCTTTGTGAGATAGTAGAGGTTATTTCTGATATACGACTCGAAATTTCACATTAATCAAATTACCTAAACTGAAATAAACATTCAAGAAGATACTTTCAAGAAATTCCTCTTGTACATCTCACTGAATATTTGATTTCAAAACCAATTATCAGATATAAATATATAGTTTTTACAACATGATTTGGCCTTTTTTTAACTTAAAACTGTAAACTACAAAATTGGCTGAGTGATATATAGTTATCGAATTTCATCATAGTCGTTTACATGAGCATAGAGAATCTATACCCGAGTTCGAATCCTCTAAGAGAATAGACAAAGACTCACTCTTTTCCTTGAAGTTTTTTCTTCTGTTTTCGTCGTTGTTCGCGCAAACCTGTGAAAAGGAAACAGGACAGAGATGATAAGAATTGAGGTTGGAAGATAAAACGGAAACAGAAGATGTCGATGATAATGATCAGAGAGCGGAGAGGGGAATACGTTTTTTGGTTTCTCTCCTCTTTCTCCTTAACTCGGTTATATCTCTCCGTTTTTCAGCCATATCCTTCAGATTCAACTTAGTCTGCGAGTGTAAAAGGGGCAGAGTAGGCAGAGTTTAGGAACAAAGTAGCATTAACGTCTGTTTTGTTGAGATATAGTACGTATACAAACGACTACTTCTATATTACCTCTGGACCAGCACTCCTAAGTGCCTGGAGGGGCTCGACACAATCCTGACCAATGACGATCATTTTCTTCCTTTTAACATCTCCGGAATTATTTGAATTTTTCTGTCTAGCTAATTCCTCCAGCTGGTTCTGAAGGAGAGGTGAAACACCAGCCTGAAAAGAAAATCAAATCATTTTAGACTAACACACGAAGAGATGCGTGCGTCCTAAATAAATGTCATCGAACCCCCCCAAAGAAAACGATTGTGTTATTTATTACTTGAACCACATAGCTTAGGAAGAAACAATAGCTATATAAGGATGGGTTTGGAAGAAATAGCAGCCATTCCGAGAAACATCACATTACTGTGAGAACTTACCCCAGCCAAGTAGCGTTTTGAGAATGTTTTGGGTTGCAATGGCCGTGAAAGAAGACTTTTTAGTTCCTGCAGTTTAAAAAAAGTTAAATATTTCAGTATACATCAGTCTTAAGACCCTTTGTGGTCCGACGCTTTCTGGACCCTGCACATTGTAGGAGCTTAGTGCACCAGGCTGCCCTCTTTTTAGATATTAATATCAGAAAATTTCATAATCAGAATGACCTCTTGTAGATTAGTTAGTTGAGCAGATGTGGCTTTCTTTCGCTTATGATTGTTCACTCTTTCCTCCTCACTATCATTATCTTCCAAATCTAGTTCCATTAATTCAGCACTTCGCTCAAGCCAATTTTTCTTGGCCTTGTCCTGGAAAAAAAAAGGAAACTAACCATGAACGAAATGTATAAACGTGAATACAAGTTACCGGCGGCAATAGGAGGAAACAATATTCTGGAACTTTAAGATCAAGTTACTCAGTGGATACAGAGAAAACAGTTTGCTAAATAGGTTATTTTCCTTTAGATTGTGAATACCACCCATCAAATAGGACAAATTTGTATTAGCCGATCCCCAACTAGCTTGGCGAAGCGTAGTGGTGGATGTTGCTTAAAGCAAACACCTTCTGAAAACCAAAACCCAAGGGCAGGGCCCATCAGTGGCTATTTCCTACTTTGCTCCCTCGGTAACACGAAATTTCCTTACCAGTTACCACGAAGCTATTCCTTGTTTTGGGTTAATGCAGATAAGTTAGTAAACATTTTTGCAAGGAACCCAATAAGGGAGAAGTTTCCAACTACTTCCAGCAGATTCTTTCTTACTAAAGGAAGATCAATTAAGAGTTCTTTTATACCTAACATATACGGTACAAATCCCAAAAGAAAGAAAAAATATCTCACTAAACACTAGCAAAAATCCTTCTTTTAAGCTCTTTATGGAATTTAAAGCAGAATAGAATAAGATTTCTGAAAGGAAAACCACTTATTGTATCATAACCATGTTAATTTGTCCCAAAAAAAAAAGATAAACCAATAAGGTGGAAGTTTTCAACTTATTGTGTTAGATTCTTCTTAGCAAAACAAGAATCATCGTATCTTCACTATTTTGTATCCACGGAAAACATTTACACATCTTTATCCCTTCATTGATAATTCAAAACAGTATACAGCATTCTTCCTAAAAAAGAAATTACTAATTGTCTAGTAACCAAGTTGGTATGTCCAAAAATGTGAAGGAATTCAATGTTCAATAAAGTGAGGCTAACAAGAAGTATATGGAAAACAAGATGAAATCTTTCACTTGTCAAAAGCTACGTTTTTTGATTCAGCAGACTATAGTGAAGAACATTAGCTGCTTAAGAACAAAAGAGGCTTCTGAAGTATAAAGTAAATGGCATTATCAAGAAAAATGCATTTCAATCATCATAGTTAGATTGGTCAGAGAGACTCATGACCATAGCATAGGAAGAAGCATTTTAACACTCAGAGATACGTGGGACCAGAAGATCACCTGAGAGTCCTTTCGGGAAATCTTGTCTATTTGACGTGCAAGGGATAATCGCTTCATAACTTCAGGCATGTATGACATTTCTAAGGGAAACCGCTGGAAGTTATCCTGGAAATAGCAACAATATCCATTAGTGCAAAACATTGCTACTCGAATAGAGCTTTCACAAAAAATAAAAAAGAGGGTTAAATGTAAAGACAAGAGGGAGAAAAAATAATGTCTTGAATGAGTGTCAACCAAGACAAGCATACAGCTACAATTGACCAACCGAGAAAGATAGAAGCAAGAAACTCTACAACATCAGGAAAGAGAAGCCAGAAGCAGTCTGCTTAGAGGGAAATAATGTCACTGCTCCATCTAATCATTTTGTATATAATACGAAATAATCACAAAAGTTGAAAATCTAAAAGGAAGTACTCGTAAGCTAAAAAATCAATATGTATCGAGTCAACCTCCAAACTGAATGGTTTTCTCCCTTGCGCTCATTTACAGAGGATATGTATCTATAAAAAGAGTATTTGCTCATTCCAGTGGCTATTCGAAGATTACCTTTGAAAACGACCTGCATAAAGCAGCAAACTTTGAGGTATCATTTGGTGTGATTAGAGCAATGCTACATCCATCAGAATGAGCCCTAGCAGTTCTTCCACTTCTATGAACGTAAACCTGCACAACAATTTTCATAGATTGAAATTGTGTACGTGGTAACAAGCTACCAATAAGAAGGCACATTACGAACTTACTTCAGCTGAATGAGGTAGCTGATAGTGAATGACGGTTCGAACACCAGGAATATCCAAACCTCTGGCTGCAACATCTGTAGCAATGAGTATACCATGCTCATGTCCCCGAAACCGGTCAATTGCCTGCATTGAACAAAATGGCTAAGAAGAGAAGGCAACAGAATATAGAACATGTTTAGTAGTTCCATGTTTGTGAGAAGGAAAAGCTCATTGATGCGACAATTGGACAAGATGGAATAAATTGACATCTTCTGTCTTCTCAATTAGAGAATGAAACAATCTCATAGCAAGTGGATAAAATGTCAAGACTGTAGACATAGAAATCCTAACTACTGACTTTTGGCTTATAGCCATAAGTTATAAGCTCATCTAAACAGGCTCTAAATAATTCCAGAACAGATCATTGGTGTACCAATCAAGAGCCACTAGATTGAACATCTCCTCCTTTTCTCCGCGAAAGAATTACTATAGAATTTGAAAGTAAAGAAAATGGAGCATAACCTAAAATGGGAAAGAAATCATAAAAGTGACCTTAAGTCGAGCTCTCTGTTGCATCTGGGCATGAAGTGTCCAGACATTGACGCCAAGGATGCGCAAGAGGGAGGAGATATGGCGTAAAGCTGCAATGGACGTACAGAAGACAATTGTCCGACCTTGTCCATGAACACTCAAAATGTAATACAAATACCCATCTTTATCTTCATCCCTGCAGCTGCGACCCAACAATGGAATGATCAGTTTCACACCAGGGTAGCATGCATGGTGAAAACGAGTACATATTTACAGCAGCAGAAATATGTATGAAGCTTCAGTTTAATATAAACTATAGCAATTTAAAGGAAAGGTATCTCAGACGAAATATATACAAAATTTGCAAACTCTAGGCAAAGATTAAACTTCACAAGCACATAAGCACAAATTATATTGGAAACATGTATATAGAAAGATGAGGTGATGTTAGGCCAATGGCGATAAAGTTGGCACAAATCATTCTCAAAAGAAAAAACAAGAAATACCAACTTACTCTATAAACGACTCCTCGAGCTTGTTGGCTAGAATTGATGCATTAGTCAGATCAATGATTGCCGCATCTGCCCTCATTCCTGCTCTCTCAGACAGAGTTTCTATTGAATTCAACTCATCGTTTGCTTTTGATTTTTGTGATCCACGCTTTAGCTTCTTCCTGAAATCGGCAGACAAAGCAATGGTTGCAGAAAACACAAATGTTTGCCTTTTCTTTCTTTGGACACTGGAAACTGTTTCACAATTTTGTGATTTCTGAGAATCGTCATCAGTCGATTTATTAGCCATAGGAAGCATGTCAACTATAGACTGCAACTCGTGGAAATGGCCATTTTCTATCATCCGATCGGCCTCATCCAGCACAAAAAATGACAGTGAGTGCAACTGCAGAAGCAAAAAAGAAACTAATATCATCCACTCTATAGAACGGATAGAAACATGGGAATGCATGTTTCAACCTACTATAACAAATGTGGAATAACTGAAAAGGACCATTCAGATTATCAGGTGTCATGAGAAGCGACAACCAATAATTGATGGACAGCTAGTCTTAAGCATCACAATCCGTAGTTTGAAGTTATTCACAATTGAGTTGCAATTATTAAGCAAAAACCAGGTAACAGACACCCCCAGTGAACAATCTTACTAGGACTCGCATTCTACGTTAGAGTAAACCTTCAACCAGTTGAAACAGAGGATTTTGAGGGGTACACTAACATAAATAATTTTATATCATGAAAAGAACAGTTCATACAAAAATCTATTTCATAGATTAAGAGGCAGAATCAACTCTCTCTATCTTTTGCCAGCTTAGCCAAAAGATCGTTGTCTTTTTTCCTTTCTCCCTCCTTTTTCTTTTAGGCTGGAAGAAGGGAGACATATGAAGAGTCACCTTGTGAAACAATCCTATCACGTGTCATAAATTGCCACTAACCTCCACGAGATGAGTTTCACCACCAGACATAAGCTCCCAAAGCCTCCCCGGAGTTCCGACAACAATTTCAGGCCTTGTTTTCAAAAGTCTTTCTTGTTTTTCACTTGACATTCCACCAACAATAGGGACAACCCTAAAATTTGAATGTTTTGCTGCTTCCTTCAGATGATCAGTGACCTGGAGAGAAGAAATAATTAGAAATTAAAAAAAAATAAAATGATGAGCAAGAAACTGCAAATGAGAAGCCCCTCACAATGTGCAATCAAAATGAGTTGCAGTAAACTAACCCAGCACCATAGCCAAGTCTACAGATATAAATAGCACTGGCCGGGCAAAAATATCGAATAACAAAAGGAAAATCCAACTAGGTTAACAAGAACTGCAGTGCAAATAAAACATGAAGTCCACATTCCATTCTGAAGGACTTAAACAGGATAGTAGCAGCAAATAGGAACACCCAAACTTGACATAATAAACCATAAGTTAAGCATATATTCTTTTCCTCTTTTTTCTGTTTTTTCCCTAGTGTTGGTTGGATAAGGGGGACTACAGGAAATAATATCCTGAACTTGATGCAACACATAGTAAGCCTCAGCATCAATAAATTTTAGTTACTGTGACATTATCACCTTCATCTTGATCGAAAGAGATTCCTGGGTGATTACTTAGCAATGCTTGGCGCCAACGGCGTGAAACCCAGAAGGAAAAACTTGTCAAACTGCTGTTTTTCTACTACTATACATATTTTGAACAAGCATTTGGGGCCAGAGACATGCATACATATATTTTTATTTTTTTATGAAGCGACGTACAAATATAAATGTGTGTGTGTGTGTGTGATGTCAAGATATCAGCTTATTATTTTGAAATAATATACGAAAACAGTTGTAACATGAGAATTATCACCTGAAGGGCAAGCTCTCTTGTAGGAGTAATAATTAGAGCGCGGAGGAGACCTGCGGAGGCAACTTTATCATCCAATTCTCCATTTTCTGGAAGCTGCCTTTCGGCCTTTTCTCGCTCCTCAAGCAGACGTTGAAGAATGGGCAGACCAAATGCCAGTGTTTTCCCAGAACCTGTCTCTGCAGCACCCACAACATCCTGGCACACAAAACAACCAGCATAAATATCATGGTATATGACATCATCTCCAGTGAGATACCTTGATTTTTATCACATAACCAACCTTTCCTTGGTGAGAACCTGCAGGAATGCACGCTTGTTGTATTGGTGTAGGTTCTTTGAACTTGAGCGCGTATATCGATTTCATGAGCAGTGGATGAAGTCTCAGTTCATTCCATGCATAATATTCAGTTTCATCTACTGAATCTTGTTCTTGGTCATCATTTCCATCAGTGACTGTTCGAGTCAGATTTCAAAACGAGAATTAATACCAAATCATAAGAGAAGTCTTCAACGTGAGATCATGTTGCAATGATAAAACCAATGGACGAGATCCTAGTCAGTCGTTCAGAAAGAGTAATTAAGGACTCTATTGACTGCAACATTAACTCACACCAGTTTCTTTTCCAAATAAACATATTAGTCTACTCCAAATTCGTGCAAGTTAACATTGTCTATATATAAAAACAGTTAAACGGAAGTAGGTCAAAAGCTTTCTAGTGAGCACCACTCGCAGCAATAGAATATTTAGAAGAACTTGTAGGAATAGCAAGTATATGAAAGTATGCCTACTGTTTTTCTTTTTTCTTTTATATTTATAACAATTAGAAACCTGATGAATGGCCAATAAATTGAGGGAAAGAATCACATATCCTTCTGGTCTAACTCCTTGCATTTACCTTGCATTCTTCCAACATTCAAGCAGAGGTAAAATTTCTATTTTATTACTGGAACTGAATTCAACTGACACAATATATATCACTTACAAAGCCATTTCAAGAACCCAAAACACAGAACATAGCTTAGTGAAACAATAGGTCAAGATATTAAAGAATTGACATCCAGTAAATACCTAACTAACAATAAAATTGTTGAAAGATTCGCCAATGTGATTAAAGGTTGTTACCCATAGACATTCACTTGAAATTGACCGACTGATACCAGAATTTCAGGAATTATGAAAACATCCAGAGACTCAATGAAAGAACAAGTTAGCATTATACTAAACTTAAAAATTGAGAAGCCTTTACAAAAAGGAAAATATCAGATTTTAATGCAACACTAACCAGCTGGCGGCTCTTCATTTCCTTCAGCTTCATTTACAGCATCTTTATTGATCTTATCTTTCTTCTTCTTCTTCATCTTCTTTTTCTTCTTTTGTTTCGTTTCCTTTTCCACCTCTTCAATCTCCTCTTTGCTCTCACCCTTAGCTTCACCATTCAATTCCTCATTTTTTGTATCTACTTTCTGTTTCTTCGGTTTTGTCTTCCCCTTTTCTTCACTTCCACCAGATGATTTGGCAATACCCAAATTGTACTCTGATTCATCGATCTCTTCAAGACATAAAAAACCTACACTCAAAACACCCAAACCTGTGTCAGTCCTTGGAACCCAAAATTATTTGTGCTCAACAATCCAAATCAACAAACACATATGTTTTAACTAACAACAGGGGAAAAAATCAACAGAATACAAGAAAGCTTAACGACTAATGCAAAAATACTCCGACAGCTATTGTTACGTTAATGTTTGCAATCTCCTAGGATGTGCAATTTCTTAAATTCGCAACATAACCACTCGAAAAAAGTTGTTCTTTAAAAAATAATTTCCAACAGATATAAGGCCAAAAACATGGATCATTTCTGCCAAGAGAATACAACAGCAATGACAACAGCAATAATAACTACACCACAACCCCAAGCTAGCTGACGTTGGCATATGAATCCTCAATATAAAAAATGTTCTGTTTTGGTCCATAATATAGGCTAACTATTCCATCTTTCACGAAATGCTAGATTTTTTATTTGACAATAAGAGTATACATACTGAAAATTTCAACTGTGAGCTTTCTGTAAACTCTCTAAAATTTCAGCAGATCCTAAAAGAGGTTAATGTAAAAAGGGAGAAACAAAGTGGCTTTCTTCGAACTCCTTGAATCCAATTTTTTTTTTTGAAACTGTAACATATTCCTTGAATCCAATTTGAACTAAATTATTTATCTTCCCCAAGAGACAATAAGCCAAAAATCCACTCTTTATATTGTTGCTAAACCTGCAAGTTTATACAAAAACAATCTCTACCCAATTGTGGGGTTTCTCAAAAACTATTGGAAAAGAACAAAATAACTGATTCAATGCAAAAGGTCAGAAAAATAAACCTCCTTCAAGCTCGTTGAATCCAATCTGATCTAAATTATTCATCTTCCCAAGAGACAATAAGCTAAAAATTCAATCTTTATACACTATCAATCCCTCTCCAATAATGGGGTTTCTAAAATACTAATAGAAAATAACAATACAGCTGATTAAATGCAAAAGGGCAGAAAAATAAACCTCCTTCGAACTCATTGAAGCAAACCTGGTCTAAATTATTCATCCTCCCCAAGAGACAATAAGCTAAAGATCCAATCTTTATACAATAACAATCCCTATCCAATTATGGGGCTACTCAAAGACTATCAAATAGAAACAATACAGCTGATTCAATGCAAAAAGGCAGAAAAATAAACCTCCTTCGAACTAATTGAAGCTAATCCGGTCTAAATTATTCATCTTCCCCAAGAGATAATAAGCTAAAAATCCAATATTTATACAATAACAATCTCTATCCAATTAAGGGGCTTCTCTAGAGTTATCACAAAAGAACAATACAGATGATTCAATGCAGAAGGGCAGAAAAACAAACCTCCTTATAGCTCATTGAAGCCGATTTGGTCTAAATTAGTTATCTTCTCCTAGAGACAATTAGCTAAAAATAACAATCCCTATCCAATTTGGGGTTACTTAAAAACTATCAAAAAGGAACAATACAGCTGATTCAATGCAAAAGGCAGAAAATAAACCTCCTCATAGCTCATTAAAGCCAATCTGGTCTAAATCACTTATCTTCCCCTATAGACAATAAACTAAAAGTTCAATCTTTATACAATAACAATCCATATCCAATCATGGGGTTACTCAAAAACCATCAGAAAACAACAATACAGCTGAATCAATGCAAAAAGACAGGAAAAAAAAGAAACCTCCTTCAAGCTCATTCGAGCCAATAAGGAAAGAGAAGGCATCATCTTTCTCTGTAAGTGTTGGATTCCAATTAAGTGAGTTGATTCGCTCAAATTCTTCTGATTCAACTCTGCTTCGTTTCTTTGTTTTCTTTGTTCTCTTTTTATCTGAAATTTGAGAAGCCATTGCTACACAGAGCTCAAACACAGGGTTTAGCAACAAGCATTTAGGGCTTTACCCTTTTTCGATTTATATTACTTTTCGTAAATTACAAATACATCCACACTAGTTTTTGATAGTTACACATACATCTCCTTTAGTTTTCGGAATGTGAAACTTTTTGGTATAATATATAAACGTGTCATTTGATTTGGTCTCGATACGCATTCATGTTATCTCGCTTTAGAAATATACAATTAAACACTTAAACTTGTATAAAATCGAATATGTAGATACACCAATATTGTATCTGCTTATTTAACTTATACGAATTAAAATGTCTGTTCCTGCAGACCTAAAATTGATGGACATATATATTAACGAAAATTCAATTAAAAAATATATTATATATTACGCCAAATAAAAGAAATTGTTATACCTGATAAAAATAACAATGCACCTTAAAATTTACTAAAAAATGGATAAAATGATCATAGATTTATAATTATCATCAAAGTATATGCTAATTAATTTAAACACTTTTAGTCTTTTAAATTGGCCTTGTACAAAAATTTAAGAATTCTTTCTACTAATCGTTTATAAGAAATGTGAAAGAAAAATTTCTAATATTGTTGATCTATTTTTTGGTGTCTAATATATTTCCTTTTTTAATAAAATAAATTTGTAACATGAAAAAAAAGAAATTAAGAGAGAATTAATTGGTGAAATTAGAACTAAAGGAAATTAAAAAAATCAACGAACTGAATTATTAAGTTTCTTTTTTAAAGTCTAGCACAAATTTTATATGCAATTTTTAGAATTTAACAAACTCTTTCTTAATATTTTCGATTAAATCTTCATTTTTACAATTTTCATCAAAATTTAAGATATAAAATTTATTACTCAAAGAAGATCATAAAATGTTTAGTTTTTAACAAACAAAGGATCCAAATTTACTTCCAAACCAACATGAGTCATAGTAAGTATATATTAATCTTTAATAAGAGATTTTGTATATATATTTTTTTGGATATCGAGTTATTTTTATTAAAGTGTTTAAAATATTCAATGTAGAACTAACGCAAAATGAGAAATAAAAAACGCTACTTCCAAACATAAACTGTCATTTTTATCATTTTCTCTTTTATTCACCAAAAATCATAAGAAAACAGTTTCGAAAATAATCTATAAGAAGTTACAAAATAAAATCATGTACAATAAATTTATATGATAGAAATCTTTCTTCGAACCCTATACTTAGCGGGAGCTTTATCGCATCTTTGTCATCTTCTCCAACAAACCAAATCTTTAAAAAAAATCCCTTTTTTTTTCTCTTTCCACTGATCAGTGCCACTTGTTTTTCTTTGCTAAAATCACACAGCCCATTGAAACCTCTCACCATTCATTATCTGCAGAATAAATAAATGCATCTTCTTCTGTCAAAAGCTTCCCTTTTTTTCAATCCAAGAGTTATTTTTTCTTCTTCAACAACAATGGCTACATCTACTTCAATTTCTGTTTCTTCAAAACCCCGTTTAAAGGGTATTGTATTTGACATGGACGGAACCCTAACGGTCCCTGTTATTGATTTTCAGGCCATGTACAGGGCTGTTCTGGGTCATGATGAATACCTTGCTGTTAAATCTAAGAACCCTTCTGGGATTGATATTTTGCACCACATTGAAAGTTGGAGCCCTGATAAGCAACGTAGGGCATATGAGGTTATTGCTGATTATGAAAAACAGGGTCTTGATCGACTCCAGATTATGCCTGGTGAGGTTTTTTGTGTTTGGGGGTAAAAATTGAGTCTTTTTTTTTTTAGTTTGTGGGTGTTTTTGACATTTTGATTTTGGTTTCAGGTGCTGCTGAACTTTGTAGTTTTCTTGATTCTAGGAATATTAGGTAAGACTGACTTATGGAATGTAGATTTTTGTCATTAGTTTTTAGTAAGTTACAGAGTTTGGTATCTCAAGCATTTCTAAAGGTTATTTGAGCATCTCTATTAGTTGCTATGTCTCCTTTACTGTATTTTCGAACTGCTTTGATATGCATTACTTGAGTTGAGGGTCTTTCGGGAGCAGTCTCTCTACCTCGTCGAGGTAAGGGCACTTTGTCGTCCTTAGTCCTCACATGTGCGATTACATTGAGTATGTTGTTGTTGGACTCAAATAGATCCAAAAGATATGGAGGATTCATATAGCTGAACTCAAGTACTTAATTCATTGCTCTTTTGTTTTCATGTGGAGGGGGTAATGGTATATAGTTGGGGAATGGAAAGGGAGAGTTGGGGTGAGAATTAAGCTTGTAGCTTAAGGATGGAAAGGAAGCTCCCACTTAAATTTTATTTACGATGTAATGTTTCTTGTGAGCTATGTGAGCTTTTCTCTTTGTTCAGTTCCACGATGACCAGTTTGAGCATTTTCCTACATCAAAGTAGTTATGGTTCCTGTCTGTCTCTCTCTTGACTTTGCCATCTGTTTTATAGTGTCCATTTCATGGCCTAAGATCTAATGTGCCTAATCTTTCTTTATCAATCCTTAACTTTGCTTATTCTTTGAAAAGTTTCCATCTTGAGGTGTGGTTGAGAGTTAAATTGCTTCATGCGATGAGGACACAGGGTATGCAGATCGGCCAGTTCTTTTAAACCAAGAAATCCAGTGTTCTCAAATCTCAACACCAACTGGAAGATCATGGACCTGCTTCTCTACCCATTTCTACTCAAATACGAGACCTCGTTCACTAGTCTGGATGTACGGTTACTGCACATTCCTCTTTGTACTACCTTCGGCTTCGCTAGTGAACCAAAGCCCTGATATGCAAATTGGCCAGATATTTTTTCCATTCTTTTGAGTACTTACTACAATATAATTCCCTGGCAATTTCTTGACATTCCTCTCATGTGTAAAACTTTTCTCTCAATTTAGTGGTCTTTTACTATTAGACTTCTGTTTTGTACTGTCTAAGGATGTATCACTTACTGTTTTACTCCTTTTTGACTGTCATGAGGATGTATCCAAATTATATTCAAATTGGTGTTGGAAAACTTCTCAAACTTAACTCTCTTGCGACAAAATTGTATACTTGTGAGTTAAATTTGCTTATATCTGTTAGAGGCATCTTACGTTATTTCATGCCCTTCCACCTTCAATCTCATTATTTTATGCCCTTCACTGCGGATGGATTCCCTTGGACCACACTTCTGATTCAATGAGAGAGATGACATATTTAAGGAAATGCTTCACATTTATGTGTTTGTGGTACTGGACAGATTTGATAAATGCTTCCCTCTTGTTAAGAAATACTGATATTGACTAAATGTAAAAGAAGAAGAAGGTTGTTATTTCATGTTTCTGGCTCTTCGTAAGAGAATAATTTAATTGTTTTGTGAATTCTATTACAGAAGGGGATTAATCACTAGAAATGTCAAAGATGCAGTTGACTTGTTTCATGAACGCTTTGGAGTAAGTATTTTTCCTTTCAGTTAAATATATGAAACAATTATTTTGGCATGAATTATATGTTGATATTGTATGCTGAAGTAAGTGAACAGGGGTAATTGGACTTTCCAAAAATAAAAGCCCATCCTAGTTCTATATAGGGATGAAACAAGAATCATCACTGCATAGGAGAAGGAAGAATATATCTTCTTTCTTATGCTTAAGTTTCTTTAGTTTGTGAAGTAAAGACAAATAGGAAAACCGAATGGATATTCAATATTAAAATAAATCTTCTCCACTCATTACCAGTCAGAGGATCACGAGCTGCTAAAGGTCGTGATGGCCTAAGATATTTGCGCAAATAGTGTGGTGGAGAATCTATACTTTTGTTATAGTCAAATAGAGAAGGGTAGCTCAACTAGAGGATGTATGGTTTCCATCACTAGTATGTTGCTCTAAGCTCCATTGTCATTTAGGGGAAGAAGGTATAGACAGTTCTGAGCTTATGAGAAGCAGATAACATGCTCAATTCATCTCTTTACAGGATCCGCCTTGTGGCTGAACAAGGATTTAAAAGATAATCTAAGACGCTTTTGTAACATTATGTAGAATTTCATGTAGCTGACACATGTAACACGGCCTCTTTCTGCTTTGTTAGCAAAATTAAAGGAAAGATAAGACTAAATCTGTAAATGATATTTAAAAGAAAAATAAGAGACTTTTTTCATGAAAAGAAACATGCAAACCTAGTAATAAGCAGAGATATGGGTGAAGTTGCAGTGAATTCATCTTCTCACTAAAAGTGAGAAAAAATCCCTGAGAGATTAAATTTTCTTGATCTTCTATCTACTTGGGTCCCGCTGTAGGTAGCTCACAAGTTATAAAACCAATGCAAAATCGTTCTGAATAGTCACAAGGAACTGTTCACTCCAGCTCTTAAATCCAATTGTTTGCTTGCTTTTTAGTAGTTTGCAACTGCAAAACTTTCTAGGATGCTCATGCATTTCTTTTGAGATAACACTTCTTTCAGCATTTAGGTAGCCAGCCATGTACTTTCTAAGATATTGTTATAGTTGGTTGATTCAACTGAGCTTAATGTGGCTGGTCAACCTCAACTTCAGTTCTGTGTCTGAGTAGATAATTACTGTGCCGTGTGAAATCCTGACAAATAATAGGAAGCATTGCGCGCCAGTTATCAGTGCCAGTATGGATGTGCTCAAAGAAGGGTCCACTCATGAATGATATTGTAGAGTAGTTTGCATTCTGGATAAGAATTTTGGAAAGAAAACACCCTATGCGCAAAAATTGCACTAATTCAAAGGTAAAAAAAGAGTGGAAATAATGCTGAAACAGTGCCGAGCCTGCAATACCTAGGCTTTAATACTTCAATAAATTTGTCCCCCCCCCCCCCGATTTATGTGTGGTATTTTTGCTCATCTTTTTGTATTCAGAAGTAGGCCCCCATGGCTTTGGTCTAGTGGTATGAATGCAAAATGTGATTATATGATGTCATGTGTGGGTGCACGTGACAAGTTTGAACTAACCCCAAACAAAAGATCGGTATTTAAATGGATAAGGGTAGAGAGTTAGGCACATTATCCACTGAGTTTCAAACTGTGTGCCACTGGCAGTCGAGGATTTCTCGTTTATAAAAAAAATCAGAAGAATCTAAAAAGGACAAGCCTCCTAATCTTTTCTGTTTTCCATCTGCGCAGGCACTATCTGCAGTTATTGAATCTCATTATTTGGAAATTAAAGATGGTGTTTGGATTGGGAAACAGTTTAGGGAGAATAGTCTTTTGGTTAGGTTTCCAGAGAACAGTTTTCTGAAGTGAACATATCCAAGAGGAGGAAATCTAATATGCATAGTAGTGTCTGAGTCCAAGAATGAGTGGACAAACTTCCCTTTCCCATCCTATTATTTAGTATCTTTCAGAATGAAAGAATAAGAGGTCATTTGCTTTAATTTTCTGGCCCCTTAGAATCTTGAATTCTAACTTCTAGAAAAAAAGGTAGCTTGAAATTTGAGTGGATTCTCCAGGTGTCTAAGGAAGCTTGATCTCTGAGTGGAGTCTCCAGGTGTTCCACTTATGGTTAATCGCCTGAGAAAAGAAATCTCTCCATTTCTGCTATAATATACCTCTCACCTCAGCTCAAGCTGTACGTTTAGTTCAATAGTCTTTATTACGTATACCATATAAAGCTCAAGTATAGAATCTCTTTTTGATACAGGTGAAATTTTCTCCTGCACTGAGCAGAGAATATCGTCCATACAAACCAGATCCAGCTCCATTGCTGCACATTTGTTCAACTTGGGAAGTTCAATCTAATGAAGTAATGATGATTGGCGACAGCCTTAAAGATGATGTGAGTTTCCTCTCAAGCTGACCGCCTTCTTCTCTTTCACGTCCACTCTTTGCAATAGGTGACTCAATGCATCGCTGTGAAAGATGTGACATTTTCCTTCGACTAAGTTCTTAACTAATTCATATAGGTAGTAATTGTGCTTGGCATATGATACTCAAAGCAATTTTCTGCTCGATCTAACTTTTGCTTGATCGTTAGCAGTTCTTAGCATACGAGCTTTGGCTCCCACCTCTAAGTTGTTAGTTTTATGATTTCTTGAGCCTTGTGAACTCTTTTTTTCGTTCATGCATGTCAGTCGTCATGCCATTTAGGAAGTCATGGTAAAATTCTAAGATATGTGTTGTTACTTACTTCCAATGAATATTTTTCGAGTTTGATATACAGGTTGCTTGTGGCAAACGAGCTGGAGCTTTTACTTGCTTGCTCGACGAAAGAGGAAGGTATGATGCCCCAGAATATGCAAACGTTCAACACAAACCAGACTATAAGGTGTCTTCTCTTGTTGAGGTTCAGTCACTACTAGAAAGAGATTTCGAGCTGACATCTTGATTTTTGCAAATCTTTGGAACCCCTCCTGGCCTGGCTGAGCAACGAGACATGGTTTACCCTCGTAAGCCTCCACGTAGCATTCCTGCATACACGTTTCTTTTGGTTTCTGCAAGATCATAGGAATTAGATTGCAGCTTTGCTCAAGTGAGATGATCATAATTCATTTTTCAAGCCAGAAATGGGGAATATGAGTTGTTTTTGTTCACTCTTGGTGGTGAAACTGGTGATTTACAGAGACTTTGTATCGATTTAGCCTGGTTCGTTGTGGGTGACATAGTCACGAGACCATGACTGTGTTTTCGTATGAAGTGTTCTTGTCATCTCTTTGCTCGTAATGGAAGCTCTAGCTCAGCTCTTCCACGCGAATAGTAGCTAAGATTTCTTAGAAATAATTGTACTTGTTAGTGCAATGATTTTCACAAGCTAGTCTCAGTTTTTGTTCTCTTTTTTTGGTATCTCGAGACGACTCACAACCTCTGTCACATCCTCTGTCCTTTGTCATGTATGCAACTTTTTTATTTTTCATTTCCTTTTGTATTCCAACATAGTAGATCAAATTGCATAGTTCATATGTATATATTGGTGGATGAACATTAGCAAGTATTGTTAAATGCTCCTCTTTTCACAACAATACGATAGTTCAAGTATGAGAAACTACGAGAATAATTCTAAGACTATTGATTAGAAAGGACATGACGAAAAATGTGGCGTTTCAAACTACAATCAAGCTTATCTGACTAGAAAATGAGACGACGCTTCATTCATGATCTGTTTATCTAAAGTCATATCCTCGACAGACTGAAAATGTATCGTTGTTAAAACTATGTACATAAGCAATTAATTAAACGATAAATGTATTTAATCAGATATTACGTATATTATATTTATATGAATATTTGAGGGACTAAATGTGCAAAACCGTTAAATTCAACTGCTAACAAAATTCTGTTTATATTGGCGCACTTAATCAGTTCTCTCTTCAAGAAATCAGTTGAATGAAACAGAAAAAAACAGAGCAAAATAATGACTTTCAGTATTCACGGTTGCTCCGCCGTATTCCGCCACCCATCTGCCACCGCCACCGCCACCATAGCTGTCTTCTCCGGTGAAGATTGCAGCATCAAGAACGATACTAATGTCTCTCTGAAGAGAAAATCTATTTCACCGATCTCTTCTCCTTCTGAACCATCCCCGAAAAGGGACACTCTCAATTCACCACCATCCTCCGCCGCCATTGCTGCTGCTAACAATGGTACAGACCCAATTTCACCAATTACTTCACCATCCGCTAAAAGGGTTACTCTCAATTCACCACCACCCTCCACCGCCACTGCCATTGCCGCCGATAAGGATGGTACAAACCCCATTTCACCAAAAACTTCACCATCCCCTGCTTTTTCACCCTTCTCCAAAAGGGTGTCTGAAAAATCACCTTTTGCCACCACCAACGCCGCCGCTGCCACCGCTGCTGATGCCACGGCGACGCCGCCACCGCTCCCGTTTTCAAGATTCACGAAAACGCAGCCGTCAAATAATAACAAAACTCTGCGGCGAACACTATCCGAACCGCCAATTTTCAATTCTTTTACTGATTTCTGTCGTTACATGAATTCCCAGTCACCGGAAAACAGCAAGAACAATCCAATCTCTGTAAAATCAACTCTTCGTAGATCAACTTCTGATCCCACTGCTGCAAAAATTATTCTTGCACCGGCACCGGCACCGGCAACTGCAACTCCGGCACTGACTTCAGGAACAGGGCATGAAAAAACTACAAGAAGAAGCAAGGTAAAATAAATAGGTCTTTTTCTTTTCTTTTTACAGTAAGTTTTTATCGTATTTTATCGAATTTTAAAAATCTTTATTACTTTCTCAAATTTTATTTCGAATCATCAAATGGTACATATACGTTAAGTATTACACGCTAATCTTATTATATTTTGATAAAATTATAGATCACTAGAAAATCTTTATTCCGAAATAAAATTATTTTCTGAATTAAAATAAATTATTACTCATATTTTAATACGAATGATAGTAACAATTTTTATTTATTTAATCTTATTTTTTCATTTTTTTTTAATTATAGAAGTGTTAAAAAGGTGGAAGCTGCTGATAAATTGGCTCTGCATGAAGATGGTTCAAGTCCAACAAGAATTTTTCATTAATTTCATACAAAATAATATTCATGGATATATTTTACATGTTAGTTTTAGTGAAATATATTTTCCCTCTTTTTTTCTTTTTTTGTTCTTTTAATTTGTTAATATCATCTTATATGGGTGATTTAGGAGCATTTTGATCAGGGTGTATATTGATTCGAAAAATAGACGAATTGAATTGATTAATAAAAAAATGGATTACAGACTCGTTTACATTACTTGGTTCATATTAATTTTACGTTATTTTTAGAAATTTAAAATTTATTTTTCTTTAGTGTATCATCTTAAATAGTATTTCTGAATGATTTTTGATGAATATCAAGTTTACACGTAGGGAGATGATTGATATTTTCTTTACTCCTTTCCATTATATAAACATGTATAATATTTTTATTAATAAAATATTTTATTGATATATTAGTGAAATTAATTAATGTTTCATAATCATAATTAAGAACATGCCACATGTATTAAGTTAGTAGTCATATCACATGTCACATGTCAAAAGCATAGCTAACGTTTGATATAAATTATTTTTAAAAAAATTCATTAATTTATAATTAGTTACGATGATTCATCGATATAATTTATAATTTTTTTTTGATATAATATTTTTTATATTTTATGTATAATTTTATATGATTATTACATATTTCAGGATTATAATAAAAAAGATGAATAATATTATTACTCTCGAGAGTTGATAGATAGAATTATAGTTTGGGATATATAACTCATAGTTGATGGAATTTGTTATATAAAAGATATAAATTTGAAGTATTAAAATTTTAAAAGCACTTAACAAAGTATATATTTTGGCCTAAAAATCAAATTTTTTTGCCAAATCCTTTTTCCAAAACTTGACAAAATTTTATGGCAAATAAATTTTGCCAAATTATTTTCTATAAAGTGCTTGCAATATCTATGGTCAAACAAGTTTTTATTCGGTCTTAATTTATGTAGTATTATTTGATTTGATATAAAAAGATAAATATATTTAAAAAAATTAATGTAGAATAAATTTTAATAATTTATATGATTTATGAATTATTTCCTTAATAGCAAAAGAAAATTTTACGAGTGAAAAAAATATCCACTAATTACATGAGAGGTACATTATGAAGTTCATAGCTTTTAAAAGAGTAAATTTAATAAACAAATAAAAAACATGCCGCCATATTTATAGAAAAATACGTGCCGTTATGAATTAAAATTGTATATATTTTAAGAAATATATTCTCCAAATTAGTTTCACTATTTTGCATAAAAAAAAAGAATCAAATAAGTTTCTCTTTCCTTATTTCGTGGGACTTTATCGGGTAGGTAATATGCAAACATGTTTCCTTTTTCTACAGTACTTTATTATACAAATTTTTAAGTATTTTAAATTAATAATTATTATGATTTATAGTATTTTTATATGTTTTATGTATAGTTAAATTTCAAAGATTTTAATGATTTTATGTTCAAATTTATAATCAAAATCGAGTTACTTGTCTTTAAAAATTCACATTATGCCGCATAAATTGAAATATAAAAAATTATACATTTTTAATTTAATTTTTTTAATTTTTTCTTACCCGAGATATAAATTAGTTATATATAATATTTAATCTCTTTTAATTATACATATTACCATTAATTGATCTACAAATTAGTCTTAACAAGAAGTGCAACTTCAATTGATCATGATGTACATATAAATAAAAGAAATTAACGTATATTATATGATTTATTTATCTCCCTAATTAATATTTAAAAATATACATAAAAAATTTCAAATTTTGAAATCAAATATTTAATAAGAGCAGTATATTAGGGGTTAAAAGTGTATAAAGTTTGTTTCTCTCTTAAACAATAGTTTTGAGTTCGAGCCTGATTGAAAACTTTTTTGAAAATAGAATTCTACGCGTTATAAATTTGAAATAGTCGAACTTTAACGCGGATATCGGATACGGAAATCAAGAAAAAAATATAGGAAAGGCGCGTGTAGTGCAAACACCCAACGTGGTACGTGAATGGGACCCTTCAAATCTCCATAGAAAAGAACAGAGAAAGCTGCAGTCCAAGGAATAAGCTGGAACCCTCTTCAATTTTCTTTAGAAACTATATAATATAATCTTTCTTCAACACAAATTAGGAGAAAAAATTATAATTAAATTTCTATATATAAACAAAAAAATTATGTTTTCTAATCATTATTTTCATCATCTTAGATTTCTCTCTTCTCTACGATTATCATATTCAGAAATATTCAGAAAATCATCCCAAATCAAGAACCAAAAACTTGTTTTTTTCTCTAATTTGAAGTTTTATTCAAGAAAAAGAAAGCACCCTTTTGCTTAGAATCATGATATGTTTAGTAGTTCCTAGTGGCAATGTTCAAGATTTCATAAAAATCCAATCTTTATCATGTTGTCAGCATCTTTCCACCAAGAAGATGGCTTGCTCAGTAGTTTCTAGAGGAAACCCTTTACTACCCAATGTACAAAAATTCAGAAAGATTCAATCTTTATCATGTTGTCAGCAGCAAAATCCTTCCACCAACAACACCATTGACAAACAATGGAAGCCCAAAAGTCATCTGATAAAGATATTAGAAGACCCTCAAGTTGAGAAAGTTTATTCTCCTAAGGTCAAGAAAAAAATGGTTTTTGAGGAGAAGAATGGGGGTTTATCTCAGATGAGGAGTCAATATATGGCAATTTTGTGTGGGGTTGGGTATTGGGTACAGGGGTTTAGGTGTTTTCCTTGGTTGGGTCTTAACTTTCATATGGCTAATGGAATGAATATGCATCCATCAACATTGCAACTTGTGCAGTATTTTGGGATTTTACCAATGGTTGCTAAGCCTATTTTTGGAATTCTGTCTGATGCTGTTTATATTGGTGCTGCTCATAGAATACCTTATATTTCTCTTGGAGGTAATAATTTTTTACTTCCCCTTTTGTATTTGGTTTTGTTTGATTTGCCATATCTTTGGATTTTGCTGCTATATTTGTTTCTTTTTGTCATCTTCTGGAATTTCAAGATTTAGCAGTTTACCATGTCTTTGTGTGTGGTGTTGGTGTTGTTTTGCTTCCTTGTTTTTTTGGTCCTTGTTGCCACTTTGTTTTGATTCTGGTATCTTTACCAACAAAGCAAAGAAGTTCCTTGAGTGTAAAGGTGGCTGGAATAAAGTTAGTCATCTCTTTTAGTTTCCTTTAACAATAGGAAAAGTTTCTATAGATGAGAATACTGATTTAGTAAAAGCAAGTGATACCCTTCCGAATGCACTACTTGGAAGTTGAAGGTCATGAGATTTTAGACATTTGAAAGCCTCACTTTGTGGAGAGCAGTGACGGATCCAAAATATAAAGAAGTAAACATAGTAAGAAGCCAAGGGGGTTCAGTAACTACTATATTACGTAAAATATAATTTTGATCGTGTGTAATTCTTTTATGAAAGACGTAGTGTAGCGTAGCTTCACCCCTGGCAGGGAGGACGGCTACAATGGATGTAATTTTGTGTAGCAAGTCAAAATTTTTAAGTACTAGAACCATTAAGACAAGTCTAAGTTTGAAGTGCACCTGTTTTTAATTCCGTTGACTCTCAATGTTACCGGAATTCATGAACACTGATTATTTATAGGTAAGTTTGAGAGTTCACCTATTGCAAACCAATAAAGCTTAAGTTTTCGGTAGCTTGATGAAAATGATCCAATATGCATTAAGACTTCCTTAGTTGAATTACTTCTTTAGCAAATTCTACTTATCGATCTCGTTTTTGCTTATTAGCTGTGTTTTCCTTTCCTTTTCTTATTTTTTCTTTTTTTGTGAAGAAGTTGAGGTGGTCGAGGAACTTGTAGTCCTAACTCTCTATCTGTATATATAAAGGTATATAGTAATGTACAAAGTAGAATCTCTTTGTATAAGTATTGTAGAAGCGCCTAATAATGTGCTATTACAGTTCTCCTCCAGGTTTTGGCGTGGGGTCAATTGGCATTAACCTCAGCTGCGAGTGAAGCTCTTCCTGCTCTTATGGCATGTGTCCTTCTTAGCAACATTGGAGCGTCCATCACAGAAGTTGCCAAAGATGCTCTTGTGGCTGAATATGGTCAAAAAAACAAAATGCCAGGTCTACAGTCTTATGCATTTATGGCTTCAGCTGCTGGTGGAATTTTAGGCAACTTGATCGGAGGATATTTCCTACTCAAAACACAGCAGCCTAAGTTAATGTTTCTAGCCTTTTCTGCTCTGCTTGCTCTGCAATTAGTAGTAACTTCAGCTACCAGAGAAGAGTCCCTTGGTTTAGCTCAATCATCAAATTATTCTGTTGTTAGGAAACCAATCACGAAAATATTTAGAAAACAGTATTCGGATCTTATGGTAGCAGCTACAGGCGAAAGCATTGCTCGTCCTCTTATATGGATTGTTATGTCAATTCTAGCAGTCCCGGTCCTCTCCGGATCTATCTTTTGTTATCAGACACAATACTTAAATCTTGATCCATCAGTTATAGGGATGTCAAAGGTGATAGGCCAATTGCTGCTTCTTTCTTTGACAGTCTTTTATGACCGGTACGGCAAAAGGATTCCAATGAGAAAACTGATTGGTATTGTGCAGATAACATATGCTGCTTCTCTTCTTCTTGACCTTGTACTTGTCAAGCAGCTTAATCTCAAATTGGGAATTTCGAATGAATGGTTTGCTCTTTGCTTCTCGGGTCTAGCAGAAACTATTGCAATATTTAAGCTCTTACCATTCCATGTGCTGTTTGCAAGTTTGGCTCCATCAGGGTTTGAAGGATCTCTCATGTCTTTCTTGGCATCAGCTCTGTGTCTTTCATCAGTATTTAGTGGTGTTTTAGGTGTTTCCTTGGCTACTTTCCTTGGTTTAACTCCTGGTAACTACTCGAGTCTGCATATTGGGATTCTTATCCAGTTTGTTGCAGCGTTACTACCACTGAGATGGCTCAGTTATGTCCCTATGGCTCAACCTGCAGCTGAAAAGGGAAAGAAGAGAGGTCAAAGTAAAAGGACGAGAAAATATAGAAGGGTAGGGAGAGTCGTCGTTGATTCGTTCTATTCTTACAGACGCAAAAGAGAATCTGATTTTGATGAGGATCCATTACTGACTAAATGATCATTCTGCTGCTTCAAGAAATTTGTTCATGTCCTAGTCCCAAGAGGAAATGACAACGAGAGTGGACGACTCATGACCAGTCTCTGGTACTTAGTAGAACTCATCTATTGGTTCTTGTCAAGTTACAATGATGCAGTTTGTTTCTCGGATCATCTCTGAACTTTCAAGAGACGTATCTTTTACTCGAGCAGATTGAAGAAGGACGGTGTAGCCTTATCCCACGTTGTGTAAAACTGTTGAGTTGCGGAGAGGCAAGAGAGATAGTCTTTTCAAGATCTCCTCCCCACTGGTAGTTCTCACTGATCAGAGACTTGTTTCGAGTAGGATCCCTCGCGCTCTATTCCTTTTGTAGATGATGGCAGCTTCTCAGTTTGTGGGAGGTTTGAGAAAAATGACAATCCAGAGCAACTATCCTGACTTGAGGAGTACTATTTCTGCAATGGAAGGTTACCTTTAGTTCCATAGAGCTTGTCTAAAGGAAAAGAAGCAAACAAAAGTGAGCCATGATTTTGAGCTCAAAAAGGTATTGCAACATTTGGTGATTTCTTTTCATCTGTTAAGCGTTGACAGCAGAGTTACTTGATATTTGTGCTGGCGGAAGATAGTATGTCCTGAAATAGTTGAGTTGAGGTGTGCGTAAGTTGGTTGATATTTGTGCTGGCGGAAGATAGTATGTCCTGAAATAGTTGAGTTGAGGTGTGCGTAAGTTGGTTGATATTTGTGCTGGCGGAAGATAGTATGTCCTGAAATAGTTGAGTTGAGGTGTGCGTAAGTTGGTTCTCGCGAGGAAAGGGTATGCTTGTAAAGTTACTAACTTTTTAAGTGAATAAATTACTTCTACACTTCCCATTGTGAACACATTTTCAAATATATCATTATATGCTAATCTTTAATACATTATACCAAATATCAAAATAATAATAACCATGTGTTACATTTGAAAGTACTCTCAAAAGTTTTAGAGATGAAGATATTCATTATTATTTTTATTTTTTAAAATATGAAAGTGGTCAAAGATCACTTATTTATTAAAAAAATTCACTTTGATATAGATAGTTATTTTTACACTTCCATTGAAACTTAGAAGTTTGAATTTTGCATGACTAGTAACAACAAATTTTCAATATAAACTAAACACTACCAAAACAACACTTACATAACTATGCTACATTTAATTTATATTGTTGAACGCACCATTATAAAGTTACGCATTATTTTATTCGATTTGCAAAATAATGTTACACCAATCGAAGACCGAACATATGTAACTTTTAAGAAGTTGATACAAATTAAATGACGATATCAAAACAGACTTACCATCGAGTTTTCACTATTTTAGGAGTTGTCTCTCAATGAAAATACTTAGGCCCACAAAAAGCCCAAAATTTAGCCCAATAAAGTTACAATATATAGCTTCTTCCTTCATACTCTCGGTGATGGAACACTGAAATTTTGTTCTATATTTTGTTGAAAGATCTTTCTGAAATTGCTAAAATTACTGCTCTCTACTCTCATTCCTCTAATTCTCAGTAAGTTTCCATACCCATTTTCTTCTTTTTTTTCACTTGGAAATCCCTGTTGTTATGATTCTTTGTTCTTTTTTTTGAATTTTAGTACTGTTTCTTGATTTTTTTCTGATTTTGTTGATGTTTAAGGGAAATGTTGAAGAAAAACATTGAAATTTTAATGGGTCTGTTTACTTTTATCTTGTTTGAATTCCCCTTTTACTTTTATCTGGTACTGGTTGCTGGTGGGAGTTAGTAGAAATAGAGAGGCATGCAAAAGCTGAATGGATATTGGTTATAATAAAAAAAGAAGAAAACTTTGGCTGAATTTGGTGATTATTTTTTAATAAAATTATCTTAGTGGATTTTTTAACCTTTCGGGAATAGTTTGTCTACCTCCACGAGCTAGTGAAACACTCTCAACTTTCATAGACCTCACTTGTGGGATTTCACTCGATATATTGTTGTTGTTGTTATCCAATTCGACCTTTTTTTTGGGTTTGGTATGCATTTGTGGGGAGGAGGTACTTTCTTTGGTATGTTAAGAGTGAAGTTTTACTTGTTATTGCTTTTGGTTTTGGTTGCATAAGACTAGAAAGTATCTGAGGCTGTTAATTCCAATGTGAACAATCCAAGGTGTAGGTGGAGAAAGGCTTAGAATTTTACAATCACAAAGCAAAAACTGAAATGTTGAATAAGAGCATGTATAAGAGTATCTAAAGAAAAAAATGTTTTTACGATAGGTAATGCCTATGTTTCTGTTGCATAACAGTTTCCGCATTAATATTCAATGCATGAATAAACTCTGCATTATGTCCCCTCCATAACTAATCCGTAAATCAAACAACCCTTGAAGATGGATCCCGGAAGTTCATTGACCTCCATTGTGGAGGTTACTGTTTCTCAGCGCATGAGACTGCTCTTTTGCTTTTCAACATTTTTTTCCCTAAAAGTTCCGTTCCACCAATGTGGAGGTGTAGGTATAATTTATTGATAAATCAAAGTTTATGGTGGTAATAGATTGTCCTCGTAGAGAGACAACTCTTGATGAAAGGAATTTATCTTCCCTTCTTTCTTGTTCGCGATATTTTCTCCCTCTCTGCTCCCTTATATTCGTAATGCTGTCTTCCATTTACATCACTGATTAAAAAGAATGATGTTTTCTCCTTACATAGTTCTCATACCTCTAATAAGTACGTAGTCGTACAAGTCGAGTTGAATATTTTTCATCATCCAATTCTTCTTGAACTAGGTAGTTGCTTATACATTAATTTCTCATGTGATGTTAGAATGGCATCCCAAGGATCATTAGAGGTGCCTTCAGAGGAGTTTCCTACTAGGATCAATTACCGTCCAAATGGCAAGCCCCGGATTGTAATTGAACACTACATGCCTGAACTGGAAGCTTATATGCCAAGAGATGCTGAACCAATTGATTTAAATGTGCTACGAGAAATCAATGATCGATTGACAGCTATGCTAGAAGATGTGAGATTGATGAAGAAACGACTCACACGTATCATGATTTTACAGTTGCTATGCCTCTTTGTTGCATTTTCAGGTCTCTTTGTGAAGTTGATTCGTAAGTAAGTACTGTTACTTTTGTGAGCCATTTAACCTTCTATCAGTGCTGCTCAGAAATATGTGATAGGAAAATGGAGTGTTAATAGTTCTTTGAAGTTTTGTGCTTTGAGTCTGTACTTTCTACAGCCTTTGTGCCTCATCAGCTTGTGCTGTTGTAAATAAGTTCTTGTAATCAAGTTTTTTGGCTTTTGTTCATTGAAAAGAAAGAGTTTTGGTCTTCCTATTTATCTTCTCAACCCAGTGTGAATGATTGAACCAAATGTATGCCCAAAGTTTAATTAGTTGAAGTAATTAGTATGTGTATTTGTTCAATTTCTTGCCTACTTCATGTTAAGGTTGCACGCCATTGTATGGATCGCGCTTATGCTGAAATTTTTAATAGTGTAGTTTGATGGTATCTCAAATCTGTCTGATCATTCCGAAGAATTGTTGAACACAAGAAATTCAATGAATGTATTGATAGGCTACTTCTCCATCATATTCAGTACATGAGTGTTTCTCCCTTAAGTTTCAATAGATTCCAATAGTTCAAACTCTCACAAACTTCTGCAAACCTGAGCTCTTTTTGGACTCCAGAGTATAGAGCCTCTTACTAAGTTGGTCTCTTAGGTCAGCAGCTGCGGCAAGATAGACGTTTTTCTCTTTGATTTACTGTAAGAAGACAGGCTTGCACTTCTTTAAGCTTCGTGCAACCTATACAAGGTGTTGCTCGCTTTCTCTCTGTTACCAGCGGGCTTATGTGGTGGATAGCATCCCCAGATGCTCCTCCTAGCCACACATATGCTCCAAACTTGAAATCGACTTCTTTTTTTCACCAACATCAGCTTTTCACTGTCCCGCTCCTTTTCAGACCAGGACTAAGCTGCATCGTTGTACCTTCATGCCTCTGCCCTGATGTACTGATAAAAAGGTCATCTTAGGCTGGTGTGTTAACACTTGGCACTAATTGTTGTTCAGCACTACTTCTGTTTACTTCCATCAACTCTTCATGATTGTAAGCATAACTACACAGCCTAGTTGGAGTAGGCTGGGAGGGCAGCTCTTGATTGGTCATGTTAGCTGCACACAATAATAATACACATCAGTTCATCTTGACAATTGCATCATCCTGCTTCGATAAGAAGACCTCAAGTGCAATGATCCTTCCAGGAAGAAATTGTGTATTCAAATTTGCTTTCGAACTGTTGTAACTTGTTCATTCATAAACCTTCAGAGTATCTTCAAAGACAACACCATTATCATCTTGTTTCATTGCTAAGATGAGTTGATCTAGCATCTCATAAATCACAACAGAACAAGGATGAGACTTGTTAGCAACGTAAAAGCTATGAGTTTCAGTGTTAACGCTAATCCAACTACAACCAGGGAACTTCTTCAGCCCTTTATCTTTCATCATAGTTCTCACTTGAGCAACGACATCCCATCTCTTTGAAGAAGCATACAAATTTGAAAGAGACACATAATTGGAGGGGTTCTCGGGTTCCATCTGTATAAGAAACCTATATGCTAAATCGTGTACTTCACTATTTCCATGGATTGCAGAGGCATTCACAAGTGCACCCCATATACTAGGACCTGGTTCCATAGGCATGGTCTTGATGAAATCCAATCCTCTATCAAATTGGCCTGCTTTACCTAACATATCCACAATGCATGCACATATCTCCAAAGTTGGTTCTAAATCATACTCATTTACAGCAGAACTATATATCCGGATGCCCTCGTCTACCAATCCTGACCTAGCACAAGCAGAGAGAACCCCAACAATCGTAATCCTATCTGGTCTCATCCCATGTTGAAGCATTTTCTCATACAAAACGATAGCACCCTGACCATTCCCATGTAAGGAGTAAGCAGAAATCATTGAACTCCACGATATAGCATCCTTAGTAACACAATCATGTTCAAAGACTCTTCGTGCACAACTCAAGGATCCCGACTTAGAATACATATCGATTAGAGCATTACATAGAGACACTTCGTGATTCAACCCTCTCCTAGTTGAAAATGCATGAATCTGTTTTCCACCTTTCAAACGATCAAATGAGCAACAAGCAGGTATGATACTAATAAGCGAAACCTTATTGGGTTCTACACCTTCCACTTGCATGGCTTTAAAGAGTAGCAAAGCTTCATCAAAATCTCCATTCAGCACATAGCCATTGATCATTGCTGTCCAAGCAAAAACATTTCTACACTTTAACCTATCGAAAACCCGCCTCCCCAATTCAACCCTGAAACTTTTTGAATACATATCAATCAAACAACATTCCAAATGAACATCATAAGAATCAAATAAATCTAACTCCAATCCAGCTTTCACCACATAGCAATGCAGCTCTTTTCCAAAGTTCCAGTTCTTCTTCACCTCTCCACACAACGAAAGAAGCGTCGAAACCGTAAACGCATCAAACTTCCAACCTTCATATAGCATATCCTTCACAAAATCCCACAATTTTCCATCCAAATTTTTCTCTTTTACACCCATATACCCTGAAATTACAACGTTAAAAGACGAAACATTCCTCTGCGGCATTTCATCAAACACCTTCAGTGAATCTTGAAAAATCCCACATTTGCTATACATAGCCATGAAAGAATTAGCAACAACAGTATCTAAAACAACCCCATTTCTCACACACCTCCCATGAACAACTTCCCCTGAAACAACATCTCCTAATTCACCCAAAATTTTCACTATACCCGAAAAAGTAAACTCATCAGGGGTGACTTCAGATTTACACATTTGATTAAAAAGCTTAATACTTTCCCCAAATAACTTACTTTTCGCATACCCATTAATCAATATGTTCCAAAGATACTCACTTTTGTGTTCAAAAGTGTCGAAAACAAGCTGAGAATCAAGTGGGTTTTGGCAAGCAAAGTATGCAGAGACGAGTTTAGTTGCTATAACAGAGTTTTGATCAAGTCCAAGCTGAAGGATTTTGGCGTGTATTTTTTGTGTATCTTTTAGAGATTGAGATTCAATGGAAAACTGAAGCAAATCAGTGAAATTAGCAGTTGAAGAAGAAGTGGAAAGACGCTGGGTTTTGGTTGAAAATTTCAAGATTCTGATTGCTGAGAGGATTATCATCACAAATGATTAGAAAGGAAAAAGGGTTTAAGATTTCGAGTTTCACTGAGTTTAAGTATTCAGTTGACAAAGTCGAGTTGGAATGAGAATTTGAGACAAGGTGTCCCGCCTTAGGATGATTTTCAGGCGAAAAGAAAGTCATTGCTCCATTATTTTTATAAAGACACCACTATAATCTTTATCGACAATAATCGAGTCGATCAATGGAAGATATTTCTGATCGAGTAGTAACCATTAGTAATAGAGCAAAAGTAAGGGGACGGACAAAGGAAAGAGTATAATTAGATTTAGGATATATTAGCGACGAATTTTAGTTAGTAAATCTCAAATAAAGTAAAGTTCTTTTTCGCGTCATACAAAATATAGTTTATTTTAGTAAACATAAATTATTTTTCTTTTAGAGATATTCAATAAAATTAGAACAATATAAAAAAAATTAATACGAATTTTTTTAACGATAACACACAAATCAAGTAGATCCTAATGTAACAATTGTTATTGGATAATATTTTTGAGCAAAAGTTTATCAATGCTTTCATATACTCATATCAAAACATTAATCACCAGTACTGGGCTAATTTTTGCAGCTCAGATAGCATAAAGTACATAATATTCTAATAAATTACACTACACTACTAATTAAGATACCTTATTATTATAAGAGACTTACAAATTATTGAACCTTCATAAGTAATCCAGAACAAATTGTAATTTCTCTCTTGGTTGGATAATGAACCTTCTTTGGTTAATTCCCCAACTAGCAAAAAGTAGTAAACAAAAAGTACAGTTCGATGCACGAAGTATCCTGCATTGAATGCTAGGTCCAGGAAGAGTGAATTGCACCCCATAGGAGGTGTAATGTAGATCGTCCACCCTAGCTGATTCCGTGAATCGAACATGTAACTTATAGATCACACAGATACTGACAAAATTAGGATTGAAAGAGGGAAATTATTTGTAGTGATTTGCTTGAGGGTTTTAATAGAAAGTTGGAGTAGTAGCCATTTGTTGTAGGCAAGGAATAGTGTTGGTTTTGTTATTATAAGTTGTAGTGTTGATCATAAAATGGCCATAAAAATCATCCAAGTTCCATAGGTCATCCCACATAATATCTTCATTCGATGAAGAGGGTTCGGACTGTGATATAGAAGTCGAGTTATTGAGTGATGAGTAGAAGAAGTCAGCTTGATCTTGTTGATCAATCATGTTGTTCGGGTACAAAATGGTCATTTCTTGCTTTCCTTGAGGCATAGTTGGTAATGACATCACATTTTTAATGTCGATTTGATTGTTGATTTGTTGTTGTTGTTGTTGTTGCTGCTGGAACTGTTGTTTTTTCCAAAGACGTGCTCGTGATTTCTCAGAGTTATCAGACGAGTTCTTGGTCTTCTTCTTGAAATGCGTCCTCCAGTAGTTCTTAATCTCATTATCAGTCCTCCCAGGCAAGCTACGAGCAATAGTTGACCATCTATATAAATTTGAATTTATTTTTTATCAAATATTAGGTTTAATTAAGAAGATGATCAATATAATTATAGTAAAGTTAAAATTTACCTATTGCCCCATCTAGAATGAAGCTCAAGAATGATCCTCTCTTCATGTGGGGTTATTTGCCCCCTCTTCAAATCTGGCCTCAAATAATTCACCCATCTCAACCTACAACTTTTTCCATTTCTCCTCAACCCTACAACAAACCAATCAAACATAAGTCATGATTTATGAAAAAAGGAAAACGACTTTCTTCTAGAGAAATATTTTTCTTCGTACCAGATACACAAAAGACTATAGTATATAATTTCGCGAATATATATATAATTATTACCTGTAAGTCTAGCAACAGAATTCCACCTGCCTTCACCATGCAACTTGACATATTCAATTAGTAATCTGTCTTCATCAGAAGTCCAAGGCCCTTTTCTCCATCCAACTTCTTCAATAAAACCCCAGTTACTCCCCATTTGTTCACTAAATATTTCACAAACCATAGTATATAATAAAAGACTTTAATTTTTTTTTTTTTATGGTGTAAAAGGGGAAGTGATATATATTTTTTAGGTATTAAGCTATATGTTGCTTTGTGCTAAAAATATTCTGTGACATAATCTACAAGTGTTAGTTGGGTATTTATATTTGTAAGACAAAGCTAAGACACTATTTTATGTGTCATTTTCAAATAATTTTTTTTTTTTGTTACAAGCTAGATATGATATGTATCATAATTCATACCACTTAAATTGTAAAATTACCATATTGTCCTCATCTATTTTGTTTTATATATTTTTTCTTGAAAGTGGAAAAGAAAAAAAGATCTTAATGTGTTTAGCCTGATCGTAATTATCGTTCATATATATTCAGTATATAACAAGTGTATAATCAATGCGTATATTGATTATACAACGGTTATACTAGCTGAAATCTGTAAAAAAAAAAAAGGTTTGATTTAGTTTTTGTTATGATATTTGTCGAGAGACGTTGTTGTATAGTGTAAAAATTTCGAAGGAAAATGAAAACGCAAATTGAATCTGCCACTCTTAGCAATGAAGTATCTAAAGATTATATTAAAATATCAGTTGAAGAAGCTGAACATCAAATTAAGTGTACTTTACACGTGTTATTATAGTGTCATGTTTGTCTTGATTCTCGATTGATAAATAAGAAGGAAAATAAAATGATTTAATTTTAGAGATGGTCAAAAGACACCTTTAAATTCATAACTAATAGTTTATATAATTATGATAAGGTGAATATATATATATATATATATATATATATATATATATATATATATATATATATATATATATATATATATATATATGTTTTATTGCCACTATATTTTCTACAAAAATTAATATCCAAAAAGGGTAGGAAGGGAAAAAAAAAGCAAAAAATAAGATTGCTAAGGGATTGGGTGACATGCTCACATCTTTGATCAAATCACATAACTATATTTAATTAAATATTATAATCATAAAATTAAAAAAAAAGTGATTCCTCTTAAAATAATAATTAAAATAAAAAATATTAAGTTTCATAGAGACAAATGCCACGTATAGCATAGGTTAATGCATTTGGACAACTTGACACACTCAAAAACACACTTTAAAAGGGAATTTTTATGTTTAAAAACTTTAATTAATAAATTAATTAGGTGGATAATTTTTTAATTATGAAAACCACTAGCTAGCCTATAAAAAAGAACCAGGTGTTGGATTAATTTACTTCTTAAGGAGATTGATATACGGTAATCACCATTATATATTTAATTATAATTTATTGAATTCCATTTTGGGTATTTGGGGGTCCATTAAAATAATATTAATTTTGTAAAAATATCACACTAAACATGTCCTTAATACGTCATTAGTGAACAGGTGGTGTTCAAAGTGATGACTTTATCCTTTTTTTTTTTTTTTAAAACGATGAAACTCGTTTGTTAGGTAAATTAATCCTCGATAAGTCGTGTGTGATAAGTTTGATTGAAGGTTGAAAGCTTGAAAGTCTCGTTTTAAAGATTACCTGCTTAACTAACTCAACTATCTTACAGATAAAGCAATTTCGAATATATAAGTTTTTACAAATTTGAATTTGTTTAGTTTTTTCTCAATATTAAATATAATATTAATTTTAGCTTAGAAGGTTAAAAAGTATATATATTGTATCCAATTTTTATGTTGTTATAAGAACTAATATTTGATTTGATGGATTATTATTCCCCTCTAAAATATGCTTATACAAATAATATATTTAGCTTTTCCACTTAAAATTGTCCTTGTTATTATTTAAAAAGCCAAGTAATTAGTGGGTATCTTTAAAATACTTAAAAAAATATTTAGCAAGATAGTAATTTATTAAATTGGAAACTATCTTATATCAGCATTCTATTTTTATTTTTTTTAATTAAAAAAGAATTGTTCTCTTTTCTTTTTCTCTTTTTTCAAAATTTTATCTTAATATCGTACTTTAAAGCTATATTTACTTTTCAATCGTTGCTATTTTTAACTTTAAAAAGTCATGTATCATGCTCTTATTTAAATATTAGCGGAATATATATTTCAAACGCTTTTACGCAACAAAAAATTAAACTAAAATCATATCAAAAACCACTTTGAAAGATCCAATGAATGAATTTTATAAAAAAGAAACATTAGCAAAAAAAATAAAGAAATTTTTTATAAAAATTACCAAAAAAAATAGCAATAATCCGTGTGATGTACGGATGTAATAAAAAGAGAAAAAAGATGAGATCTTTTAATGGGGAAGTACATCGCAACTTTACACTATGCAAAGCATATTGTTATTTTATTTAATTAATCAATAATTAGTGGCTAAATAGTTGTCTAAAAACAATTAAAATAGTAAAAGTGGAGACAATCTTGAATTATTGGCCTTTTCATCTTATACTAATCGTCTTTTATAGTACTTCTTAATTTCTTATTTATTTCGAACGGGAGCCCTGGAGCAACAGTAAAGTTGTCTATGTGGGATCTATAGGTCACTGATTCGAGTCGTGAAATCAGAACAAGCTGCTTATATACATCTCATCTCTCTAGGAAATACGACCATTCATAAATGCGTAAATGCTTAGTGCATCAGACTATTTTTTTTTTTTAATTTTCGATTTATTTTAATGATTTTTCTTTTTTGAAAATGTTGTCACTTCAAAGTGGATATGGATAAGGAACTTGGAATTTGATTAAAGTTTTAATCACTTTTGTTCTGCTTAAGCTGAAGGGCATGTTGGGATATGCCATAAATTAAAGTATGATAATTGATATCGTTAGCGTGTGATGGACTGGTAATTATTTTTTAATTAAAAGTCTTGAATTTGAACTCTGAGTATAAAATTATTTTTGTTAATAAGTATTATATACCTCAATACATAAAACTTTTCAACGCTAATCTAAATTTAATCAGGTCCAATATGAATATCGATCAGAGAGTAGTAATAAAAAGTTAGTGTATATCATGAGTTATACCCTATAGTTTATTTGATATTAGCATAGTCACTGGATTTGGAGAATCTTAAATATAAAGCATAGTCCTGTATGAGGATTTTCAAACTGAATTCTTTAATCCTAGGTTTATTATCACTTTAATAAGGTGGTTTTTTTTCTTTATTTTTGTTTAATACATAGTATCTCATCTTTGATCATGTTTGTCTCCTTATAATGTTAATTTCTAAATATACTTTAATTAATCTTTTTTTTTAATGTCATGATAATACTGTTGTCCATATGGTTAAATCGTAGTGGTCGTTTGGTTATCGCGATGAGTTAGATAAATATATTTTATAGGTTAAAATAAATCGAAATATTTCATAGAATTCATTTTTATATATTTCATATGAAATAGCTAAACACATATCTTAATATAAAATATATTACAAACTAATTAATATTCATAATAAAATGTGAAATAAAATAAGAGCAACATTCACATATAGCAAATAAAAAATTCATATTCGTATGCTATAACAAAATTTGCATAATTGCGCTCCATAGCAAACATAAAACTGTATAATTCGCTATACATATACAATTGTATAATTAGCTGGCCTAAATTGTATAGTTCGCTGGCCTATTTCGCTGCAATTGTATAATTCGCTATTCTATTTCACTGCAATTGTATAATGCACAATTGTATAATTCGTTGCCTATTTCGCTGCAATATTTCTATAAAATTTGCTTTGCATACAATTGAATCGAAGTAAAATATATGTATATTGCATTATTATAAGTGTATAGGAAAAATATATATGTTTTTCTCTCGCTTTATACAAAAACAGAAACACAATATATACACTTCTATTGTATAAAGCGAGAGAAAATTGTATTTTACTGCAATTGTATAATTCGTTGGTCTTTTTCGCTGTAATATTTGTATAAAATTTGCATTTGTCTACAATTGAATTGAAGTAAAATGTTTTGTAAATTGTATAATTAAGTGTATAGCACGAAGATATATGTTTTTGCATGTGTATATACAATTTTCTCTCGCTTTATACAAAACAGGAACACAATTTATACACTTCTGTGTATAAAGCGAGAGAGGCGAGCAGAGGGAGAGTGGCGAGCGAGATTTTTGAGAGAGAAGCGACTGGCAAACTTTGGTTAACGTTTGCTATGGAGCACAATTAAATCAAACCATAGCTACTCCATTTATTTTAGATTATTAATTTACTATTATATACAATTATCCCATTAAATAAATCATATTTTATTTTAAATTATTATACTTTATCTCATCGACTAAACAAGCCCAAGTGTGTTATATGGTAAATAATGTTAGATATTAAATAAGAATTTAGTAAAAGGACTTCCATTTCCTATTTTATTATTATTATTTTCATCTATCAAATCACAATATAATCTCTAGAAGATATTTCATCATCTAAAATCGAGTTAATCTTAGCAAATACATATCAAACAAAGATATTTACTACTTTAGCATATAATATTATATGTGATCAAATCAAACTTCTTGTCAAATAGTTGGAAAAGATGGCGTAAAATATTAAATTGATTAATTTTTTTTCATATAAAATATTTACATCAAATTAATATATATATGATAATTGTAAAAAAATTACAAATAAGTAAATTGAATTAAAACTAAAACGAATACAAATAAGTTAAATTAACAAATAGGTCATTGTTCAATTACATGAAGAAAATAAATTGAATTAAGATGAGCGCAAAATGAATAATAATATCACTTTATTCTTATTTTTTTTATAAAATAAAGTTTTAGAAGTTAAATAACAAAGAAAAAAGATAAAGCGTAGTAATATATTTCCTTCCAATACATATATATATATATAAAGTAAAAGAGCATTTCTAATTATTTAAAGTCATGTTTAAATTCTAAAAGTTATGAAAATACGTGTAAATTTGCTACATAACATTCGCAATTCATTATTTATAATATATTTTGTCGTTTTTTAATTATGAGTGATATAAATAAAATTTTATATACCGTCAAATCTCTTATGATGATAGTGTTTGGTTAAATATATAACGATATATATTTAAGAAAAAATTAAATCATAAAAATCTATTATATTCATAGTCTTATCCTGTAATTTTGTAAAAAAAATTATTTTTACGATTCAAACCAAATTAAGTTTTGCATGATTAATGGATTAGTTATAAAATAATAAAAGATTATTTGAGTCATCCTCCATTAATTAATTAAAATGAAACTTTTACTTGA